CATCAAGAAAGTGTGGAGAATGTCAGATAGGAAATCTGGCCAAAAGACAGTTGATGTCACGCAAAGTTAAAGGAACAGTGGTAGAACAGGGAAGATCCGCTAGATTTGAAGAGTGGTAGATCGGGGAAGATCCGCCAGACCTGAATAGTGGTAGATCAGCTAGCGGTGCGAAGAATGACAGGAGTTAAGAATTGGGTCGTGCAATCTCCAGAAGGACATGGTGATGGGCATGAGATCAGAAAGATCAGCTAGAGTGGAGAACAGTAGTTGATCAGAAAGATGGATATGCGAGCACCAGAAGAAAATGGTGAACCGCATACGATTTTAGTAAGGTTGAATGTAAATCAAAAGGAATTGATTTACCCGGAGTTAAGAAAGACAGGAGATCAGGAAGATCAACGGAAAAAGAAGACAAGAAGGCATTCAAAGCTAAAAGGGCGTACCAAAGGAATGATGACGTGGAAGGAAGTTTAATGAATCACATTTGGAGAATGATGGTTCATATTCTTGCTAAGGGAGTAAGAAATTGAAGAATAGGGTAATGGTAATGACGACACAAGGTCACGATGGACCGTGACTAAAGTCATGAAAGGGAGTCCACAAGGAAACTGGACTAGTAGCGAAGAACTGTGTGAAGGTAGAACTAGGAAGTAGTGTTTGCCAAGGAGAAAGAGCCTCCGATGGAAACAAATCAAGGAAAAGAGACAGAAGCCGAAGGGCTTGGGGAAAAGATGAAGTCGAGTGCGATGCTGAAAGAACATCCTTGGGAAAAGGATGGTTCGATACATCACCATAGGAGAAGAAGGTGAAAAGAAAGAGAATGTGAAGTCACAATGGAACGTGACAACTTTGAGAGAGTGGGAAAAACGGACTAATGATAAGAAATAGCGTAAAGACAAGACTAAGAGTAGTCTTTACCGAGGAAGAGAGGCCTCAGATGAAGAAAAGATCAAGACAAAGATCGACCAGATCAAGTGGGATGGACCTGAGAGTTCTTTAACGGATCAAAGGATGAAGTAGTTATGGTCAACGACGAATTGCAGTGTGGAGTGACATGATGAAGCATTGGAAGCTTTGATCATGGGATTGGTGGGCATACTAAGATCAGAAAGCATGCCAGGGCACATAGATATATCTGAGTCGGAAAAGATGTATCTAAGTAAAAAGTATGACGACGAGAAAGCAAGGGATCAGGGAGATCACCAAGCTTGTGAGATAAATGAGAAAGAACAGAAACGTCGAAACTGCAGCAAGGGATCAGGAGGATCACCAAGCTTTGTGAAGGGTCGAGGGAACGGCCAAGTTGTGAAACAAGCGAGAAGACATGGTAATTTCAAGACAGTGGTGAGGGGTCGTAGGACCGCCAAACATTATGGAGAGACTTTATCATCAAGGAGGATGAGATTGATCGTACGTCTAGAATTTGAGGACGAATTCCTATAAGGTGGGGGGGGGAATGTAACAACCCGGTTCTTAAGATAAAGCGGACGGGCGGCCGCAGGAGAAATGCTGAGTCAGGACGGATCATGGAAAAATCCGGTTTCGGCTGGAAGAGCATGTTTGCCGAGCGAAACAAGATTTTTATCGAGGAATGAAGAGAATGGCCGAGAGAAACCAACTTTGGTCGATAAAAACAGCTTTTTGGCCGGAATGTCGCCGTTATCATAATCTGGCACTCTGGATTTGTTCTAGTCATAGATCGAATCGGGGGTCTACCGCTGATCTCCTCACTGCCGCCGTCAGAAGCTTCCCCGAGCCTCCTAGAGCATTTGTGCGTCGATCCCGAGCCGAGGAGGAGCCGCAGAGAGCCTCTTCCTTCTAGTCGTCTGCTTGATTCTTTTAATTCTTAGTCTTCTTAATCCAGATCTGCAAATTGGCCAATGTGAGGAGTAGGTCTAGATTCTTAGGACCTTATTTGTTTTTTTTTGGTGTGTTGAGTTTAAATCTATTCAGGTAGCTGATTTGATGCATTTAGGGAGATCATGAGAAGTGAATTGAATAAGAAAAGCATTAGTTAAAGCACCAGCATGAATTGTTTGTTCACCTTGATGATTGGATAATGATTGTAAAGTAGCTAGGAAAGAGGTGATCGATTAGTGCAGAGACACTAGGTTCGGTTATTGTTTGTTGGAGTTCATGCCTGGAAGAAAAGATGATCCACATCGCTAGGTGGTTGTGGCGAACAACTCATTGTCTGTGTGACCTAAGAGTTTGCCATGTCTTGAACATGATGAGAGTTTTCCATGTCTTGAACATGATGAGAGTTTGCCATGTCTTAAGCATGATGATCCAGTGAGCTTGAAATTGCTTGTGTGCTTGTAGAGCACTGTTTGTTACTTATTTAGTTTTAGGCTTGATATATTGAAAATAAATGGATAAAGTTCTGGGAGTGTGGATTTATTTTCTCACTAAGTAATTTTTCCAAATTATTCACCCCTCTCGAATCTCTATTTTTCAGGTGAGTATGAGGATTACGACCTCGATGGCTATGAGGAGGAGTAGTCTGAAGTGGTGTGCTTTTTGGGATGATTTTTTTTTTGTTTTATTCGATTTCAATATTTATTTTAAAGACTTCTTTGTAATTTGTTTCATTTTTTTATTTCTAAGAACAATAAATGAATTTAATTGCAAGACTTGATTTTATTAAATGAATAAGATTATTATTTCGGAATATGTTTATTTAGTCTAATAAATATATATAGTAAACTGGTTAGAATCGATGGTGAATAGTCCGGTTCGTCTGATAGACAGATCAAAAGTTCACACATAGTTAATTACTTACGTCTATTAATTCATATTTTAGTCTAAATAAATGATTTAATATTAATACATATAATATTAATCTCTATATTATTATTTGAGTATTATATGAAATGACATTAAAAATAATAAAGAATAACTAAAATAGGAAAATATATAGAATTGTTTTTCAAATCTATTTAAAATAATATGAAAAGTTTTTGTTTCTCATTTATTAGAATATATTTACAATTTCATTTCTAAATTTAAAAATATAATAATTTTTATGTTATTTATTTCAGATGAATAATGTAAAAATTCAAGATTAAAAATTATGATATTAAAAATGGTAAAATATTTATTAGTATAATTTACTATATTACTTGATTATAGACAAAATTATTTTTACTAAAAATTTGACATGAGAAATTTTATTTTATTTTAAAATAAAAAAAAAATTGTGATGGAGTATGAATCATTAAAGAATACATATTAGAATTGTTTTTTGAAGTATATTTTGATAAAGTGCAAATAAGTTAAATAGATGGGTTATTTCGATATGTCATTTATGATTCTAATATTTTAATATCCAAAAATAAATTTTGTGATTCTGAATATTAGTTTTTAAAATAAGTAGTATATAATTAATCTATTAAATTTTATAGTTTATTTTTTAAAATTAAATATATTTTATTATATTTTTATTTGTTATATATCAAACCTAAGTTTTACAAATATTATACTATTTTTATATATAGTTAAAGATGTTAGAACCCAATATTAATAAGCATTTGGACTTGTAATATTGAGTTTGTGTGTGAATAAGAAATGAAGTTTAATAAGCAAATGGGCCTTATAAATTCATTTAAGATTTGGGTTTGAGCCTATGGAAATGAAATGTTCCTATTGGCTATAACTAAAAGTGGAAGTTTAGTGGAAGTGTATTTGTCTCACATTGCTCACCAAGGAGAAAAATCTCTTGTATATATATGGCCTTTTCACAATAAGGGTCAACAACATTGTGGAAGTAAAAGGGCATTATGCAAAAACACCTACGCGTGCCGCCGTCGCCGGTGCCGGGCTCGGGCTCGTTGCTCGTTGCTTGTTGCATTTTTTAGTTGGTTCTTAGGACTCTTGGACTCTTGGACTCTATATAGTTGGGCGTGGGTCGTGGGCTTCTTAGTTCCTGCGAAATATTTTTGCATATTGAAAGGATTTCCGAATCCTTTTATTTGCGGAAAAAGGAGAATAGCTAGTGAATATTCTTTTTTGCCAAAGCTTATTCTTTGCGGATCAAGCTGAACCTTCCAGTATAAATAGATGCCCTTTTCTCTCATTCTATATAATCGAATTCTCGAATACACCAAACACACAGCAAATAATTCTTTCCAGAAAATCCCTCTCGTCTTAATATCGTAAGTGTCTCGAGAGCTATAACGTAGTATAATTTCAGTTCGCAGATTCTATTACGGGTGTTGCGTAATAGTCTCATCACGGTTGTATCCTGGGATTCAAAAATCGCACCATACGGTCACATATTACCAGCGATTTATTGAGTTAAGGAAAGAGATCATATCTCGACTCTGTGTTTTCGTCTGTTTTCAATCGGTTTTCTAACTCTCGTTTTACTCTCTTACCTTAACATATCGTTTATAATATTGCTATTTTCTATTCGTGATTTCAATCGGATTTTCACGGTCATACAAAAGAAAATAAATTTAATTTTTATAATTTGTCAACCGATTATAAAACTTAATTATTAAAAATAATTTATTTTGCTTAATTTATACTATTTATTATTATTATTTAAAAATATGATAAAATTTATCAGTTAATAATAAATTAAATTTTTATTCGGTGAATGTGAAAATATTGTGTGATATAACTATAGGCATATTTATATATATTGATAAAATTTATTAATTAAAATTTTGAAATTAATTATTAAAATATTATTCGCGAGTTAATTTCTAGTACGTGTATTATTTGGTCAAACGTATGTGCCAGTGAGTCAATAAGGGACGGCCCGTGCATATAAATTTTAAAATAAGGGAATGAGCACGTTAGAAATAAAACATTACGTACCAAGAAAAATGTTAGTAATAAATATTATAATATAACATAAGGAAAGGACTCGTGTTTGAATTTTAGTTTAGAAAATTCTTAATAGTTGTCGTCAAAAAAAAATAAAATTCTTAATATTTTATTCTTCGTATGATCCTTTATAAAGGCCTCCATTGTAATGATATGTATCCACAACACGTAGACTTGTATACTATCATAACTAAAAGAATAGTCTAAACGCAAAACAGAGATATCGATGGCGAGCAACGGCAATGACAACTGCAACGCTATCGAAAGCATTTGGCGGTTCAAAGGAAACGGTGCGACGAGTGATGCAGCTGCGGTAACGTTGAGAAAACTCATCTTTGGGATGTTTCAAAACTGCGACTTCAACAATGGAAAAACCATCTTACCCTCCGTCACTCACAGCTTCAAAACTTGCCCCGAAGCCGAGGAAGCTGTAGCTGCAGCCGTCCGATCCGGCATGGCCAACTCTTATGCACCGAGCCCCGGGATTTACAAGGCTAGAAGGTTTATATTTGAAATTTTCATTTTCTTTGCCCAAAACTAAAGACCAATTAAGTTTTTTTTTCTTGGATAATATATAAAAGAACAAGATTTTAAGATGACTTTTTAAAAATAGTTTATATAGTTTCTATATATTGATTAGATTATATAGGTTTTTAGATTATATGGTTTATTAATTCTTTGCACACTTTACTTTTTTTCCTCAAGAGCGGTGGTAGATCATATAAATGGAGGTCTCCCGAACAAGCTAAGGCCAGAGGATGTGTATATCACCGGCGGATGCAACCAAGCGATAGAGATCTTAATGGATTGTCTTGCGGGAAATCCAGCAGCCAACATTTTGCTTCCAAGACCAGGCTATCCTCATTACGATGCTCGTGCTGTTTATAGCGGCATCAAGATTCGCAATTACGATCTCCTCCCGGAAAGAGATTTCGAGATCGATCTAAACGGACTCGAGGCTGCAGCAAATGAGAATACTGTCGCAATGGTTCTCATCAACCCCAACAATCCATGTGGAAACGTCTACACCTACGACCATCTTAATAAGGTATACTTTTTTTTCTTTCATATACTATAGTCTTGATAGATGTGTGACATGTATAAGTTATGTAAAGATTATTTTATTAGTGAACGAACTAACATTTTTGTTTCTTTGAACTGATCAATCTTTAGGTTGCTGAGATAGCTAGGAAACTCGGTATAATGGTGATATCTGATGAAGTATATGATCAAGTTGTATTTGGAGACAGACCCTTTGTTCCCATGGGGATTTTTGCATCGATAGCTCCGGTGATCACGCTCGGATCCATATCCAAAGGATGGGTTGTACCGGGCTGGAGAATCGGCTGGATCGCAATGAACGATCCTAATGGCATTCTTAAACATACAGGGGTTAGTCAACTTCTTTTATTAGATTTATTTTAGAGGGGAAAATTCAATATCCAATATTAGGAGTTGATGTGCGACATACAGTATAAGAATAGTCTAGTCAAAATATTTGACTATACATTTGTGCTCATTCATTAAGAATAGTCTAGTCAATATTTTGGGTATTTTGTTTTTTGTTTTGTTTTGTTTTGTTTTTTCTTTTTATCACTGTCTTTGGTTTTTTTAACATATGGGTCTTTTGTTGACACCAGGTAGTTCAAGCAATAGAGGATTGTCTTGATTTAGTTCCACAAGCTTCATTTATTCTTCAGGTGTGTAGTCTCTCACTATCAACTACACTATTTTTGAGACTAAAGCAAAAGCTATAAAGCTCTTAAAAAGTATATATAAATGATGTAAGTTTGTGTCCTTTTGGATTTTGTTAGGAAGCACTTCCTGATATATTGGAGAAAACACCTAAAGAGTTCTTCGACAAGAAGAATAAAGCCATGAAACGAAACGTAGAGATTTCATGTGAGAGGCTTAAGGACATTCCTTGTCTCCTTTGCCCCACGAAACCTGAATCTTGTTCTTACTTATGGGTACTTTCTTTTTCTTGGATTAGGATATGCATTATATTTGGATCCTCATTCTTGATTTTATCCCATTATCATGGATATGGATTAAAATTTTATAGTCGATATAACTAACTAGTTTAAACGACTTTTTTTTCAGGTAAAGCTTGACACATCAATGTTCGACGATATCAAGAATGATTTTGATTTCTGCTCGAAGCTAGTCAGTGAGGAGAGTCTTGTCCTTGTACCAGGTATTGATCTCTTTAATGATATATGAAAAACGTGGCCTCCCATAATCATCTTTTTTTTATATGATCCTATAATCATCTTGATGCATATGTTTTCAATTAACTAAGTTTAATTTTTAATGATCAATATTTGTGGTTGGAATTTTTTAGGAGTGGCTATAGGAGCAGAGAATTGGGTGAGGATATCAATCGGAACAGAAGAATCAGAGCTAGAGGAAGTATTTGACAGATTAAAGAGTTTCTATGGTCGTCATGCTGCACCCTCTAAGGAAGCTGTTGGATATTTCCCTCCTTAGCTGGATATTTCTCTCTTTAGCCAAAGACAAGAAATAAGCATGTGATAATTATGACTAAATTAGAATAATCTAGAATTATGAAGAAGAGAAGAAAATATCTAGATTAAGATAATGATGAGAGAGTACTCTAGAATTCTCTAATATGTCGGTCATCTCTATTATAAATACAAGGGTAGAGTAGCATTTGTAAAAGATGATCTCATCAAGAGAAAGAGAGAAAACCTATAAGAGTGTTCACACTAAAAATCATCTCTTTGTAATCCCTTTCCTTATAATAAAAGAAGTTGTTTCTTAAAACTTTAGTTATCTAACTCCCATCTTAGACACGAGAGAATATTATAGTGGATAAGTTTCCCGTAGAAGGATAACTTTCCCTACAGCTGGTATCAGAGCCAGGTTCGCTAATAGCATCAGTATCTCGTACGTATCAAGATGGAGGCGACCGTTACCGTTGAAGGTGACATGTTCAAGCTCACTACAGATAACTACTCATATTGGAAACCGATGATGGAAGACCACCTCTACTGTAAAGATTTGCACGAGCCCATCATCATGAAGGATAAGCCAGAAGGAAAGGATGACAAGACATGGGAAGTTTTGAATCGAAAGGCGGTCGCTGTAATTCGTAAGTACATCGATCGATCCCTTTTCGAGCATGTCTCTACCTACACAAATGCTTTTGAATTATGGACAAAGCTAGAATCCATGATTCAAAAGAAAACACCTCGAAACAAGGCTCTCCTTGCCCGACGGTTAGTGAAGCTGGAGTATAAGGATGGTCAAAGCATGATGGAGCACTTGAACAATTTCAAGGGAATTGTAAATCAACTAAATAAAGTCGACATGAAGGTCGAAGACGAGATGCAAGCCCTTCTACTTCTCAGTTCACTTCCAGAAAGTTGGGACACATTAGTTGTCACTCTCAGCAATTCCGCACCAGAAGGAAAGCTTACCATGGATACCGTCAGTGATAGCCTTCTAAATGAAGAAGTTAGAAGGAGAGAACAAAGTTCGAGCTCTTTGTCAGAGGCAAACATCATAGAAAGACGAGGTAGAGAAGAAGTGCGTGGACACAACAGAAGCCGAGGTCAAGACCAGTCTAGAAGACGATCCAAGTCACGTCCTAGAGTCACCTGCTACTATTGCGGCAAAGCAGGACATCGGAAGCTAGAGTGTCGATTCTTCAAAAAAAGATCAACAAATGGGAAATATCAAGCCAGACCGATTCAATCCCTCAAAACGACATGATGATAAAACCACCACCATTGTGTCTGAGGAGGATAAAGATGTATATGTTGTTGGAGAGTGCAATCTCCTAAACATTGCATCTAACGATACTTCATGGATTATCGACTCCGGTGCTTCCTTTCACGTCACCCCTCATGGAAGCTTCTTCACAACTTACCGAAGTGGTGACTTTGGTAATGTTCAAATGGGGAATCAAGGAAGAAGCAAGATTGTTGGAAAGGGGGACATCATTCTTACATCAAATACAGGATGTAAGATACTTCTCAAGGACGTAAGACATGTCCCAGATATGAGACTCAACCTCATATCAACCGGAAAATTGGATGATGCTGGTTTGGAGAGTCACTTTGGTAAAGGCAAGTGGAAGCTAACCAAAGAAAGTTTGGTTATGGCTCGAGGAAAGAAAGAAGGATCGCTATATGTAACACAAGCTAAGATCAGCAAGGAAGAGGTGAATGTCGCTAGTGAAGACATGGAAATATGGCACCGAAGACTTGGCCATATGAGTGAGAAAGGTCTAAACATACTTTCTCGCAAGAGACTTCTTCCTGAAATGAAAGGTACATCTCTTGAACCATGTTCGGATTGCTTAGCTGGAAAGCAACATAGAGTTGCCTTTCAAAGAACCTCTCCACCTATGAGAAGAAAGCACATCCTTGATCTTGTGCACACCGATGTATGCTCCATGTCCGAGAAATCCATTGGTGGAGCATCATACTTCGTCACCTTTATAGATGACCACTCAAGAAAAGTATGGGTGCACCTGTTGAAGACAAAAGATCAAGTTCTTAATGCTTTCAAGGAGTTTGTAGCCCAAGCAGAACGGAGTACGGGTCGAAAACTCAAGTGTGTTCGATCGGATAACGGTGGTGAGTACAGAGGTCCCTTCGAGGCATTCTGCAAATTTCATGGAATCAGGATGGAGAAGACACCGCCCAAGACACCACAACTGAATGGTATTGCTGAAAGAATGAACCGAACAATTGGAGAAAAAGTTCGATGTATGCTCTCTCATGCAAAACTACCGAAGTCATTCTGGGGAGAAGCCATAATTAACGCAGTTGATATCATCAACCTCACTCCTTCAGTTCCATTGGATGGAGAAATTCCGGAGGAAGTATGGTCGGGAAGAAAGGTCTCCTACAACCACTTGAAAGTGTTTGGGTGTAGAGCATTCGTTCATATTCCTAAAGATGAACGAGCAAAGTTAGACTCCAAGACCAAAGAGTGCATTTATCTTGGTTCATCAAGAGATGAGTTCGGCTATCGGCTTTGGGATCCGCTAAATAGAAAGATAGTCAGAAGCAGAGATGTTATCTTCTTCGAAGACCAGACAATCGAAGACATCCAAAGATCGGAGAAACCAAAGCTAAGAGTTAGCAAAAATGCACACCTCGACCAATCAGATGAAGGTTCAGCAGATGGATCTGAGAATAATGGTGACCCTGAAGAAGATACCACCACTGAAGACCATGATGGTGATGAAAATGAAGCAGAAGAAGAACCAGATCCAGAAGAAGAGCATGACATCCCTCCAGAGCCTGAGCCAAGACGATCGGCCAGAGGCATGATACCATCCACAAGATACTCTCTAGATGAATATGTGACCCTGACGGAAGAGGGGGAGCCTCTAAACTATGATGAGGCTATGCTTGACACTCATAAAGATGAGTGGATAAAAGCCATGCAAGATGAAATTCAATCCTTGCATGAGAATAACACATATGAGCTGGTAGTTTTACCAAAAGGAAGAAGAGCATTAAAGAATAAATGGGTATACCGGATAAAGTATGAAGATCGCAGCTTGAAGCCTAGATACAAAGCGCGGTTGGTTGTGAAAGGATTCAACCAGAAGAAAGGAATAGAATTTGACGAGATTTTCTCTCCGGTAGTGAAAATGTCCTCCATCAGAGTTGTTCTTGGTCTAGCAGCTGTTCTAGACTTGGAAATTGAACAACTTGATGTCAAGACGGCATTCCTCCATGGTGACCTTGAAGAGGAGATATACATGGAGCAACCTGAAGGATTCAAGATCTCAGGAAAAGAAAATATGGTATGCAAATTAAAAAAGAGCCTTTATGGTCTCAAACAAGCCCCAAGACAATGGTACAAGAAGTTTGATTCTTTCATGACGGATCATAACTTCAAGAAAACCACAAATGACCATTGCGTCTTCATAAAGAGGTACGTTGTCGGGGACTTTCTCATACTTTTACTCTATGTTGATGACATGTTGATCGTGGGACAAGATCCCATCAAGATAGCTGCTCTGAAAGAAGATCTTGGCAAATGGTTTGCTATGAAAGATTTGGGGCCAGCAAGAAAGATCCTTGGGATGAATATCACTCGTGATAGATCCAAGAAGGTGTTATGGTTATCCCAAGAAGGATATATTGAGAAAGTATTGGAGAGATTCAATATGCACAAGGCAAAACCAGTACGCACTCCTCTTGCTGGACATTTCAAGCTAAGCTCAGAGCAAAGTCCAACAAATGAGAAAGAAAAGGAGGAAATGAAGAGTATCCCGTATGCATCAGCTGTTGGCAGTCTAATGTATGCTATGGTATGTACAAGACCAGACTTAGCCCATGCAGTAGGAGTTGTTAGCCGCTTTCTAGCCAATCCAGGAAAGGAGCATTGGAAAGCAGTTAAATGGATTCTCCGCTATCTACAAGGCACGACTAAAAGGTGCATATGCTTTGGTAATGGAAAACTTGAGCTGAAGGGTTACACTGATGCAGACTGGGCCGGTGATAAAGACTCCAGGAAATCAACTTCAGGGTATGTAATTACCTTTGCAGGGGGAGCTGTTTCCTGGCAATCAAAACTACAGAAGTGTGTTGCCTTGTCTACTACTGAAGCAGAGTACATCGCAGCAACCGAAGCCTGCAAGGAGATGTTATGGATGAAGAACTTCTTGCTTGAGTTAGGAGTAAAGCAAGACAAATACATTTTGCTATGTGACAACCAGAGCATTATTCACCTAGCAAAGAATTCAACTTTTCACTCCCGCTCAAAGCACATCGATACTCGACATCATTGGATCCGAGAAGTTCTTGAAAAGAAGCTCCTACATCTCGACAAGGTACACACAGACGAAAACTGGTCAGACTTTATGACCAAGGTGTTACCAATCAAGAAGTTTGAAGATTGTTGTGAAGGCACCGGCATCGTGATTAACTTCAAGCTAAGTCGGGAAGGGGGAGATTTGTTGGATATTTCCCTCCTTAGCTGGATATTTCTCTCTTTAGCCAAAGACAAGAAATAAGCATGTGATAATTATGACTAAATTAGAATAATCTAGAATTATGAAGAAGAGAAGAAAATATCTAGATTAAGATAATGATGAGAGAGTACTCTAGAATTCTCTAATATGTCGGTCATCTCTATTATAAATACAAGGGTAGAGTAGCATTTGTAAAAGATGATCTCATCAAGAGAAAGAGAGAAAACCTATAAGAGTGTTCACACTAAAAATCATCTCTTTGTAATCCCTTTCCTTATAATAAAAGAAGTCGTTTCTTAAAACTTTAGTTATCTAACTCCCATCTTAGACACGAGAGAATATTATAGTGGATAAGTTTCCCGTAGAAGGATAACTTTCCCTACAGCTATCAAACTCAATGGTGATCATACCATTAATCACAGAGTTGTCTCTGTCATCTAATTGCAGTTATTGTCTTATGCCATATTGTTTATCTCCATATTTATGTAACGAAATAAAGATGTGAGAAAAATACAAGATAATTTATTTTGATTATCCGTTATAGCAACATGTATTTAATATATCATTCAAGTAGTTCAACCGGATAACATTAATCAAGATATAAGATATTTCTCTATGTTACCAAAGAAAACAAAAAAAAAACTGAAGAAGAAAAAAAAAGAGCAGCTAGCAAGATACTAGCCTAGAAGTTCTTTAATTTATTTTTCCTCTACTGTTACCCCAAAAATAACATTCGTGAATCAGAAACAACCATTTCCATAGGCGAAATTGGAAGTATTAGGAAGACCAGAAGACATGTTCATGTAAGAAGGAACCGTCGTCACTTTATTATCCAAGAAACCAAACACATCCTCTTTATTTGTCTCTAGCAAAACCGTCTTCCTCAACTCTTCCAACGCAAATTTCATTTCTTGTAACTGAACCATATTCATCTCCTCCACTGGACCTTCCCACCAATTGATCATGGCCCGTCTCGCGTTTTCTCTTCTCATTTCTTCCATAGCTTGACCCTTCTTCTTCTCTTCCTCTACCTCGCTCAAAATCTGCGTCAACCGCATATTCAGCTCGCAGCTTGCCGCAGGGTTTCGCGTCTGAGCCATTGACATATTGTTTCGGGACATGTAACGGTCCAGTACGGATTCGACACTCGGATGGCCGAAAGAGAAAGGCTTTTTAGCAGGAGAAAACACGATGATCGCAATCTCTGCGCCACACAACGTGCAAAGCTCACTAGCTTTCTTGAAAAGACCGGCTCTACGTTTTGAGAACGTGACTTGCCTGTGGCTCTCTTTCTTAATCTTAACCATGGGGATTCTCTGTCGGCCGATGCTTTCTTTCTTCTTTGACGTCATAGTTTTTATGGGAGGTTTTTAGTTGCTTTTCTTTGTTGGACAATTTGGTGGAGAGATTGTTTGTTTGTTTATATATATATATGCTTGAGTGTGGTGTGACATTATTATGAGAGATCTTCTTGTATAGTTGGCAATTTATTTTCTTATGTTTGTAACATCAACTTTGTAATTACTCAGTTTGTTTTTAATGGTGTGAATGGATATTAAAATTCTAAGATTTTGGTAAGTTATAAAATCTTGGTTTGGTAATGCAATGATTTTTTTCTTTTTCTCTGTATCATTGCCTTATTTGTAAATGTATGATTTTCTTAGTTACTATTTACTAGTTCTTTATGTTACACAATTGGTTGCAACTTGCAAATCAAAACGTCTACACACAAGTTAATGTAGGGTGCAAATCATATGTACATTTTTCTATTAAAAAAATGAAATTATCGCTCGCCACATAACTATATTAAAGATATCCAACCGAAATCGAACCGAAGTCAAATCGTAAACCGGATGGTAGAGACAAATTAAATAAAAATAAGAAGTGAAAGAGGACGGTATATTGTCGAGCCCGGTCGGCACGAGGATTTCTTCTTCTTCCTCTCACCTTCTCCTCCTCCTCCGCCGGAGTTTCGAGAGTCATCCTGCTATGGCGAGCGAAGAAGACAAAGCTCTAGAAAATCTTCTTGACATTCAACTCAAAGACCAGAGAGAATCGCTTTCCGCCATTGACGAAGCCCTAGCCTCTGACCCATCTAATCCCGAGCTCCTCTCGGTAATATTTTCTTCTCCGAATCAGATCCAAACTTTTTTCTGAGAATTAAATTGATTATTTTTTCTATCAATTATGCCTTGTATAAGTTCCGAATCATAGATTCTCTTTATCAATTAGTCGAATGCTACTTCGTTGTTGTCTTGATGCTCTCAGCTTTTGTAATAATAAAGCATGTTCATTGTTGATACTGATGTTTCAACAATCTTAATCTCATGAGTTTGTTATCTTCTGCTCTCGTAAGGTCCATGAAGAACTTCTCAGCGCAATCAAGGATGCAGAGGAAGGGCTTTTGCACTTAAAACGTGCTCGGTTATTGCAGGAAGCTGACATTGTGCTGCATGGTCTTACTCATAATGTTGGAATCAAAGCTGAGAACGTAGATCCTCTTGCAAATGAATTGGAGCCAGAAAAAACCGAAGAGAAAAAGGATTCGGATGGATCGAAATGCAGATTCCGGCACACTGATGGCCGTTGGTATAATGGTCGCATTATAGGCTTTGAAGGCTCTGATTCCGCAAAGATCTCTTTCCTTACACCCACATCTGAGAGTATGATGGTAAGACTTTTTGTAGTCCTTGCTCAGTTTCATTATCAGTTCTTGTGTGTTTCCATATGATTTATTGGTCTTTTTCTTACAAGAGTTGAGTGAAATGCATGCCTGTTGGAGTCACAATACTATGTAACCTTGGCTAGAGTTTTCTAAAAGCCTAAGTTTTGCTTGTCTACAGTTAACTGGTGGAATTGTTGCATATGAAATATCATGTATTCCATATAATTGATTGGTCTTTATCTTACAAGTTTTTAATCAAAAAACATGCTCGTTGGGGTCATAATACTATGTAACTTTGGCTAGAGTTTTCTAAAAGCCTTAGTTTTGCTTGTCTACAGTTACTGTTGAGATTGTTGCAATTGATGTTTTGTGTCTCAGATACTAACGTTGCACCGCACTAGTGCAGATGTGCAAGTTTTTCATGCAACAGAGGTGTCGGTTTGGCAGTTCCTGTCGTTCATCACATGGTATGTTTCAAGCATTATCGTTTATGCATATACGAATCTGTTCATATTGTCAAATTTTAGAAGTCAGAAATGTGTTCCAATTTGTCATTCTGGTGGTTAACAACAAGACTTCAATGCAGGACTTGATGTGCCGTTATCTTCTCTGAAGAACTATGACCCTACTGAGTGGAAGCAATCGATGGTAGGCTCCAAGATTTGGGCAGTTTCCGGCAGTAAATACGACATATGGAGGGTGGCTGAACTTGAATCATGGGACGATGAGCTAAAAGTAGGCGGAGTTGTTTTCAAAGGTGATGGAAGCTCCGCTAAGCTAGGCTCTGATGCGATTGCGTTATCAGAGTACGCTCAGATGACTGATGATGATGGGGAAGAAGATGAGCAATATGAAGAAGAAGGGAGTGATTCAGGCTCTGAAGAATCTGGTTCAAGTGACTGCGATGAAGAGTTTCCAGAAGGCATAGGCTTTCTAGAAAGCACAAATCAACGGAGAGGCGTCCAAACTGACACAGCTATATTTGCTAAATGGGAGAATCACACCAGAGGAATTGCTTCTAAGATGATGGCAAGTATGGGTTACCGTGAAGGGATGGGACTTGGCGCATCTGGCCAAGGGATAGTAGACCCAATCTTAGTAAAAGTACTTCCACCAAAACGGTCACTGGATCACGCTCTTGAGCATATTAAGAACGGAGTAGAGAAAAGCGAGAAACCAAAGAAGAAAAGGAGCAGAGGTGGGAAAAGGAAGCGTGAGAAGAAGTTTGCAGAAGCAGCTAGAGCCGCAAAACAGGAAGAGGAATCGAAGCAAGATTTGTTTAGCCTAATCAACAACCAACTTTGTACTTCGCACCATGAGAAAGTAAATGGCAGAGAGTCTGTGAAAAAGAGGCAGAACAAAGGTCCAGTAGACAGGAAAGCTCTGGTTGCGTACGAAGAAGAAGTCAAGGAGTTGAAGTTACAAGCAATGAAACTAGAAGCGATGGTGAAGAGAAACAAAAATGATCAAATTGTTTCAGATGCTGCGACAAGGAGATTGAACGAAGTCCGTAAGGCATTGGCTTGTACAATGGCAGCTCAAGCATCTGCCTCCAAAGATGTAGAAAGCAAAGAGAAAGAGAAGAAATGGCTCAAGTTTTAGAACATAGAACCTTGAATCAGTTAACTGTATTACATGGGAACCTGATGAATTATAATGCGTTTACAACCAAAACGGGTATTTCATGATATACATAGAGTACGAATAGGAGGAGACACGCCAATATACATTCTCATAGTCTTCTGTGTGTTCTAATGAAGTTATTGGTGTTCATTTTTATAGCTGTTAAGCAAGCATAAGCTGCAGCCGAGCACAACGCAGCTGAACCTAACAGTACAGCCTTCCACTGTCTACTAACCACCAGAATAGCCAAAGCCGTCAAGGCCACTGCCGTGGCAGAGAGGATGTTTTTCCAGAGTTCAAAAGATTTGATCACGTTGCTGCAGCTTCTACAATGGATCACATGTCTGAAGTACCGGTTAGCCAAATTTGGAGCGTGCATCGTCCCAATCCCACCTTTTGCAGGGTAAGAAGCGGAGAGACCTGCAATGAGTCCCGCAGGGGCGTGTTCCACTACAGGAGGGACCTTAGGGAGAGAGATTGTCCTGTGCCCGAAATGGTAAGGCATACCATGACCAACTTTGTCCATCCACTTTCTATATTCAGCGACCCATGTGTCTGATGACTTGAGGTTAAGATACAACTCCTTAGTTGGTACTTTCTCCTTCATCAGAACCTCGTTTTGAGACGATAGAAAACCCATGTCTTGTTCAAAGACCTTACATGCGTTCTGATGCCAGAACCATAGAGGTAACACCTGAACCAAAGGCGATCTTTTCGTGACACCGAACCTAACAATAAGCATAGACTTCCCTTGTCCTGTAGGTCTACAAAGAAACAACCCTGAAAAATAGTTCTTGACACCATCTTTTCCCACAAACTCCCGATTGTTTTGAAGAACACATGGAGCATCAAACCGGAGTAAGTTACTCCCTTTACCGTCTTTTTCTCGTCCCCAAGTCCCTGCGAAACCTCGGTTGGTTCGCTCTATGACCTCAAAGACCAGAGGCTGAGCATCTTCTCTTTTAGCAGTGAAATCAGTTCTATCATGAGAGATAGGGACATGAGCCGGATCCATCAGATTCTCTAGAAGGATGGAGTGGTCATAAGGTAGCTCGTGAGTACCGGAAATGTCATAGAAACCGGGTCTTGCGAAATTCTCAAACCAAGGAAGCTTTTCCGGTTTTGGAGGGGTCTTTGTTGACATCCAAACCCATACAACTCCCTGCGAATCTTTAACCTCGTAAGTCTTAACACAAGCCACCTTTGGAATCTTGGCACTAGCAGGAAGCTGTTAAACAAAAAACAGTGAATAAGAATCTTTGCAAAGGTTTTGTGTTCAAATATTAGCAAAACCATTGAACAAAAACCTGAGGAATCTTGACGCATTTGCCATCTCCTTCAAATTGCCAACCATGGTACAAACATTCCAACCTTCCATCAATCAATTGTCCTTCAGACAACTTAGCTAACCTAAAAGATAAAACTTACTTGTAAACAAGTTTGAGAAAATTTTAGTTCAGCAATTAATGGTTGGTAAAATACAGGCACCGAACCGAAATTCCTCAATCCGAATACGAACCAAATTTTATTATAGCCGAACGGTACAGAAAATTATATACAGAACTATTCTAACCGAAATCCATAAGAAATTAATATTAATTTTAGCTAATCATATTGGAAAAATACATTGAAACCGACCCGAATCCGAATTTGGTTTATTTATAACCTATCTTCCAAAAATAAAACCGAACAAAACCGAAATAATTATAGCCCGAACGGTACAGAATTTATACAGAATATTTGAACCGAACCGTACCGAATCAACCGAAATCTCTGAAAAAAATTAGCTAATCGTAGCGAAAATACACTAAAACCAAACCGAGTCCAAATTCGGTTTTCTTTAGAACCTACTCACAAAAATGGAACCAAACTAAACCGAATGTCCAAAGTAATCAGCAATTCCTAAACAGTCATTTTCTTTTTCTTAATATTCAAAATTGAATTAAAAAATGGTAAAGAATATCAGATTTGTGTAATGAAAAAACGAGTGGTTCTAGTTTTTCCGACTAATTCACTCACCGATGAGGACACCGATCTTCGTAACAGCGAAGTGTTCCTTCGCCGTCTTTGTACAAAACAATTTGGCGGTCGAAGACGGTGAGGCCAAGCGGTGCATCGTCGGGGACGTCTCTGGTGAGGTACAAAGGATACCACTCCTCTGTCCAATCGTAATCCGCCACCTCCTCACTTTTCTCCTCCTCAGGCGTCACATTTAACAAAACCTCTCCTCCTCCTCCTTCGGTCTGATCTGGCGCCACGGCGGTGCCGGCGGCGGCGGAACGGCGGAGGAGACGGAGACGGGTTTTGGTGGGTGTGCATGATGTTGATCTCTGGTTGAATTGGATTTGATTTGTGGGTGTTGCTATCTTGGTGAAGAGAATCGGAGAAGTGGCTGTGAGTTGAAGAGAAGAGCTCAGAAAAGGAACAGCCATGGCGAGAAATCGAATTTAATGTTAGTGTGTGTGCTTTTTGATAAATAGATCATTAGGTTGCTTGTTCAAGTGTTGGACCTCGTTCCACCACATAGACAAACGATTATGTCGTTTTTCCCTTTTTTTTTTTTTTTTTTTCTTTTAACATTTTTTTTAGGTATAAGTAATTAGTTGAAAATGTTAGAAGGGCTGATTTTTTAAAAGTAGCTGACCAACACCTTAAATATCAAAGAAGTTCAGTATTTTCAGGTTTATAGTTTTAAAGTTTTAGTATTTATAGTTTTCTTTTAAAAATCTTCATTTTAGTCTATTTTATATTTCTGAGTAAAATGTGAGATAATAGTCGTTTTTTCTATACGAACTATAAACGTGGGAGTGTAGAAAACTCCTAGGGCTTCTCTGTGATCTAGAATGGATGTGGATTTGAGATCACCCATTTGAAGGGTTTAATGCAATGAAACATTGACATTGTGAGTAGAATTTTGAAATTGATTCTTGTCCAAACTATTGCTCATTTTGTCGCTTGTTTTTTTTCTTTCCAACATGTGCTATCTTATAATTGTAACACTATTGCCTAGGTTATTGAAAGGGAGTCAGAACATGGACCCTTTGAGGTTAGATATGGTAACACTCAGGTTCAATTGTATTTTCCCACTTACAAGAAACTGAGTTTGGAAAAGATATTCAAATTTCACGTAATTATCTTAGACTACCATTATCACCACTTGTTTTGTTGTTTGCTTCTTGGAAGTTAGCGTATCTTTGATTTCGTACTTGGTCATTATTAAGTGGATGTATTGATTTCATTTCATTCTCCATGAGTACTGTAGTAGAAAACCTATGATCATGTTTCCACAATTTTTTTTTTTTTGTACTTTGAACGTTTTCCGAAGGCATGAAAACAAAGCAAGCCTCACAGAGTCTTCTTTAAGTCGATGATTGCTTAACAGATAATCGGTATTTCTGTAAGTTCCTTGAGTTTGTTTTGTAAGAAAACATGTGTGATACTTGTTGACTGCTCCTATAATGCTTTATCAACAAAAACTATGAACAAATGAAGAGTTTTTCAAGCACATTACTTGCATTTTTTCTACTTAAATTTTCTCCTTTTGTTGTGTGCATTATACTATACTATAACATGCAAAACAACTTAACACGGACGGGGCATCTCATGGTAACCCGGGAAGGGCAACAGCTGGTGGCGTACTTCGAGATGAGTATGGTGATTGGAGGGGTGGCTTTGCACTTAACATTGGGCGGTGCACAGCGCCCTTGGCGGAGTTGTGGGGGGTGTACTACGGTTTGTATATTGCTTGGGAGCAGCGAGTTACACGTCTTGAGCTCGAGATTGATTCCAAGCTAGTGGTGGGGTTTCTTATGACAGGGATTAGGGATTAGTGATTCACATCCCCTGTCCTTCTTGGTACGTCTGTGCCATGGCTTTCTCTCAAGAGACTAACTATCTCGCAGATGGATTAGCTAACTATGCCTTTTCTTTACCGTTTGGTTTTCATTCTTTTGTTATTTCTCCTTCGGAAGTTGAGTCAGTTGAGGGATGATGTCATTGGGTTTACGCAACCAAGACGAATTTGCTTGTAATTTTTTTCTTTAAGTAATAATATGGGAGACTCCCGCCTTCCACCAAAAAAAAAAAAACATGCAAAACAACTTTACTTTGTATGAGTAGCATGAGTGACTATTTATTTGAAAAAGGAAAAAAGTCTAAACTTTGTACGAAAAAAGTGTCACAGTTTAGGAGAAATTGAGTGTCCTTTTTACCTGAAATTCTCTGGCATGTAGTGGCTGTCCAGAATCTTGAAAAGTGTCACTCTTTCAATTTCTGGCATTAACACCAAAAACACAAATCTTGTTTTTGCAGATTGATTATGGGCATGGATGATGACTCTCTCTGATGCATGCACAAGAGAAGTAAGAACTGTCATTAATTTCTCCTGACTCAACCATCACACACAGACTTTCTCTCTCTGACACAAACACAAATGCAATTTACAGTTATCATTTATCACGACAACTACCTATTCTCTCTCTATCTACCTTTCTCTCGTTCTAAGCAACCTCGCTTTCCTTCTTCAGAGACACACTTTCAAAAACAATGGCTTCCTGTACACAAAAATCTACATTCCTCTCACCTATTCTCGTTTTCCTTGCTCTACTTCTGCTTCTTTCTTCTTCAGTAGCTGACCTCTCTTTCAACTTCTACGCTGGTTCTTGTCCCGGAGCAGAGTTCATCGTCAGGAACACCGTGAGATCGGCTTCAACCACTGATCCATCAATTCTTGGGAAGCTCCTCCGTCTCATCTTCCATGATTGTTTCGTGCAGGCATGTTACTACACTGCAAAACATGATTGGTTACTACACTGCAAAACATGATTGGTCCTTCTAATTCTTTGATTACAAAATGAGAGATTTTTGTCTCAGGGTTGCGATGCATCAGTGTTGATTCGAGGGAACGGTACAGAGAGAAGCGATCCAGGGAATGCGTCTCTGGGAGGATTCACTGTGATAGAAAGCGCCAAAAATGTCCTCGAAATCTTCTGTCCAGGCATAGTCTCTTGCGCTGATATCCTTGTTCTTGCTGCTAGAGACGCTGTAGAAGCTGTAAGAATTTTCATCAAATTCACATACATATGAAATCTACATATCTCTATCTTTCAAACCAATTTTTTGCTTAAAAACTCGGTTTCTTGTTGTGCACAAAAAGTCTGTTTCTTGCTAAATAATCTGTTTCTTGCTGTGCATAAAACCTCAGTTTCTTCTTGTGCATAAAAACTCTGTTTCTTGTTGTGCATAAAACCTCTGTTTCTTTTTGTGCTTAAAAACTCTGTTTCTTGCTGTGCATACAAACTCTGTTTCTTGTTCTCCATAGAACTTCTGTTTCTTGTTCTGCATAAAAATCTGTTTCTTGTTGTGGTATATGTTATCGTTTGGACAGCTCGGAGGACCGGTAGTTGCGGTACCGACCGGGAGGAGAGACGGGACGGTCTCACTGGCAGAAAATGTCAGACCAAACATCATCGATACAGATTTCACAGTCGATAAGATGATCACTGTCTTTTCCTCTAAAGGCTTATCTGTTCAAGATCTTGTCGTCCTCTCAGGTATGTTTCTTGATGTTAATCTTCTCTTTCAAGCTCTGATTTTTCCAAACAAGATGATCAAGTTCGAGTCTATTACGGTCTCAGGAGCGCACACTATCGGAGCTGCGCATTGCAACACATTCAACAGCAGGTTTAAGAGAGATCCCAACGGCAATTTCGAGCTCATAGACGCGTCTCTCGACAACAACTACGCGCAAACACTTATGAACAAGTGTTCATCGTCGATGGATCCTACGACCACGGTCGTAAACAACGATCCAGAGACATCGTCGACGTTTGACAATCAGTATTATAGGAATTTACAAGCGCACAAGGGTCTGTTCCAGACGGATTCGGCTCTCATGGAAGATGAACGGACGAGGAAGATTGTTGAGATTCTAGCGAATGATGAGGAAATTTTTTTCGAGAGATGGAGTGAGTCATTTGTGAAGATGAGTGTGATGGGTGTGAGAGTTGGTGAAGAAGGTGAGATCAGACGATCTTGTTCTTTTGTTAATTAAACGTAGATTAGACGAATTCAAACGGATGTGCAAAATTGGAATATAGTTTATGTTTGTCTGTAATATGCTCAAAGTTTAATCCCTAGAGCTACTCTGCAAGAGCACAGATGTACAGTTGTAGTATTGCAGGGGTCGAATCACAGAGGTTCGCACGATAAACTAGATAGACTCGAATTATGCTAAGCAGAAATAATGAAACTAAAAATAGCAGGACAATGAAAACGGTTGTAAATCAATTAGGAAATGATTAGGTCCAGAGTGTTTCTCAGGAAATTAGAGAATGCAGATAAATTAACTAGTCAAGATTCAGGTTAAGCGCGGTTCTTGAACTCAAATCACGAAATTATAATTAACCAACTTTCGTTACGAGAATTATCTAAGTCTAAATTCTAGAATTATTTGGTTTAGATATGTTCACAAAGTATCTAAACCAAATTTCTTTTCGGATAGCTACTTTGCTTACCCTAGGTTCTTTCCAGTTATTTAATTACACTTTCGTGTCAATCAATTAACCTAAAGATCTAAATTCTAGGTGGCCAGTCCAGAATTAGCTTTAAGAACAACCTATGGTGAAGAATTAATCAGATTATGAACCCTAACTAATCAATTAATCTAATATTAAATGAAATCCTTTATGAGAACCCTAAACCTAACAAGCTAACTACTCAGACATGAATATTGAAGCAACAGACATGAATGAATAGTTTGCAAATAAGAAATCACTGAATAAATAACAGGGGTTCGAAATCTTCTCTCAAAACAAACAGAGTTCAGACTTGTCTCCCCAAAAACTCTCAAAAGTAAAGATGACAAAAGTTTTCTCTCTGAAAGTCTAAAAGTAAAAGGTCTCGATGAAGGAGGCAGAAAACCCTTCTTAAATCTAAAAACACGTTTTGGGCCTTTTTGTAAATATTAAAGACTTCAGGGCTTCACAGAATCTTAAGAAATTGGATAAAATCACGTTTTTCATTTTGTGGTCTTCGGTGTCGAGCGACACCGATGGTAGTGTCGCTCAACACTCATGCACAGCTGAAATAATCCTTCACGAAAATCAATCCATTTAGCTCCAAAATGCTCCAAAATCTCCAATTAAGCTCCAAACGTATCAAGGACCTGTAAAGACTCCAAAAGACTCGAAAAACACTAAAAAGACTCTATAAATAAGACCTATATCATGGTCAAAAACCATAAAAACCATGATATATCAGTCTGTCTTAGTGTTGTTAATTTAAAACACTATTTGTTTAATTTATATGGGATTTTAGGTCAAATGATCCAAAAAGAGTAAAATTAAAATGACAAGAAAAAAGTTGATTATAGTATTCTGTGTTATAAATTATAAATATGAAAATCTATCAAAAGTTTAAAGATTATTGAGATCATCATAAGCAAATAGTTTTTTTTCACACAATGGAATATCTTAAGAAATAATTTTAGATGAAAGATCTCAGGAAAACTAAACTTTTCATCTCAAGAAAACTAAATTTTGATTGGGATTGTAAATTGAGCATCTAAAGGATGAAATCGTAGTGCATCAAACGATATACACAATGCTGTTATATATGGATGATGCACACCCCATATTCAAATGATTATAAGATCACTTATGTGTCAAAAAACTCTTTCGTCCTCGAGAAGAGGATGAAAAAATACTTGGTCCTGAAGTACTATATTTAAGTGCAATAAAGGCATTAATGTATCTTGCGAATTATACGAGAGACCTGACATATCGTTCACGGTAAATTTATTGACAAGGTTTAGCTTATGTCCAACAACTCGAAGGCATTAGAATAGGATTAAACATATATTTTGTTATCTTAAAGGAACGAAAGACATGGGTTTATTCTTTTCTAACTCATCCAAAGAGATTTGATTGGTTTTACGAATGCTGGATATTTATCTGATTCCCATAATGCCAGATCACAGACATGATATGTATTTAAATGTGTTGGTACCTCTATTTCCTGACGTTCTATGAAGCAAACTATTACACTTACTTCTTATATCCATGTTGAGATTTTAGCTATTCATGAAACCAGTCATGAATGTGTATGGTTAAAGTCTGTCATTCAACATATTCGAGAAGATTGTGGTTTATCAAAAGGGAAAGAAGCTCCAACAATTATGTATGAAGACAATGCTGTTTGCATCGCTCAACTTAAGGAAAGATACATCAAAAGAGATAGAACAAAACATATTCTACCAAAATTCTTCTTTACTGACTTACAGAAGAATGGCAATGTTTGTGTTCTACAGATCTGTTTAAGCGATAATTTGACAGACTTATTTACCAAAGTGCTTCTAACCGCTACTTTCAAGAAATTGGTTCATCTTATTGGATTATGTCGTCTCAAAGATCTAGATAAATGTACACATGAGAGGGAGTAAATGCGCGCTGCACTCTTTTTATCTTAACTATGGTTTTTCGCATATGCTTTTCCTAGTAAATTTTTTTAATGAGACAGCATCTTGCGTGCTTTACTACAATATGTTCTTTCCCCTTATCTTCATTACTGTTGATCTTTTTCAGTGTCCGATAGCGCTTGATCCATTAGTGAAAAGTTTTCAAAGTATGACGAACTTATGATGCTTCAGTATTTTCCAATGATTCTTTTGTTTGTCTTTATATATATGTTCTTTTTGTCCAAATAACCTGTAAAAACTTGACTTTAAAAACACAGTAAAAGCACTGAAAAATCATAGTGAAACCTGGTAAAAACCCACTAATATTAGGGGGTTTTAGGTTACGCTCATGCATGAATATTGTTTAAAACAATGAAGTAATTTTTGGAAATGGTACTTAGAATACTGTAAAAATTTACTTACCTGCTTAACTTAGGGCCTGACTGAATTAAACGCAGGAGTTACAGTTGCGAGTGCGGGAGTTTGCGGAAGCAAACGATTGTGGTTTTTAGCGTTATTAAGTGGTTTGCACGACTGGTTAAACTTTTTAAAGCGGATCTGTTTGCGAGACATTTTTGACTGGCAAACCAACGAATGTTTTAGCAGTTTAACATAAAAAGTATCAAAATAAACATCATATATAGTTATAAAAAGACATAAAAACTATATCCTCTATACATTAAACAGGAAGAATTTGGAGGCCATTTTGCTGAGGTGTCGCTCCCACAATTTTTCTCAGCATTTTTCTTTTAAATAATTCATTATATTCCACCTATGATTATTTCCTTATTTATATCCCTCCGCCAATTAGAATTTAATTTATTATTTACTAAATTTTTTATTCGTTTTCCTTATTTAGCTCAACTGACTTCTTTTAAAATTTTTGATTTATACATGCATAATTTTCATCTCATCTACCTTATTTTCAACACAAAACAACTATATACTAATTTAAATTGTCAAAGCAATCGATTGATTAACAAAATTTAAATTTAAATTATTACTATCTTTATTTTCTTATTTTTATGCAAAATTTATATTCACATTCCTATCATAAATCAACATTCTGAGAAGTACAAATTTTATTATTCTACATAATTACTATTATACAAATGAGGTATGTATTTATACAAATGATGATTATAATTATATTCAGTCCAATATACATGAGCCCATATTTGCGCTTCATACATTTCAAATCTTATTTACAATATTGTTTATATTAATGTGTCAATATACGTGATCCCATAATCTCGGTTATACGTGATCCATAATCTCGGTTCATTTAATAATGAAGAAATCATAAC